GTGGTTAGCACTGCTGCCTCACAGCACCAGGAACCCGGGTTTGATTCCACCCTCGGGCAACTGTCTGTGAAGAGTTTGCACATTCTTCCTGTGTCTGCGTGGGTTTCCTCTGGGTACTCGGGTTTCCTCCCACAGTCCAAAGATCTGCATGCTAAATTGCCCATAGTGTTCAGGAATGTGTAGAATAGGTGGATTATAGGGGATGGGTCTGGGTGGGATGCTCTGAAGGCCGGTGTGGATTTGTGGAGCCGAAGGGCCTGTTTCCACACTGTAGGGCTTCTATAATCTATGAGAGCTTTGAGTTAAATAATTGGTTGCTTTGAATTGCATTAAATTCTCCATGTGGGGGCCAGCATTCATTCTCATGTAATAACTCCAGAATCACCTCAGTTATTCAAGTAATATTTGCCTTAACAATAAGATGTTTATATAGTGGAGAGTTGGCCAGGGCTCCCACTCCATTTGTTTCATTGGAAGTGCGAATGTAGAAGTTGGCTAGTATTGGGCTTAGTTGCGGTGTTCCTGATAACCTGCCAATAACTTTTGCCTGAATTCACATATAATGAGTGGGCTATTTGGATTAGACACTAGAAGATAACTGAAGAAATCCAAACTCAGCAGGAACTAGTTACCACTGAAGACGATAATTAACTAAGAATTTTTCACATAGAAGGTGAATGGTCCTTATGAATGGGGCTTTGTTCTTATCTGTAACCAGATGTAATTATGAGGAGCATGTAAGCATATTAAAGAAGGGAAAAAAAACTGCACTTAAATAGCGGTTTGTGTATCATCAGTATGTCTCACAAATTAATTACTTCTACACTGAATGTTGCAATGTAGGTAAATATGGCAGTTAATTTACACACAGCAATGTCCTACAAACAACAATGAGATAAGTGTCCAGATACACATGTTTTTAGTAATGTGGATTTAATATCAATTCAAATTTTACAATTTTTACCTAATTATAAAGACAATTTGACAAATAAAAATAGTAATATATGTAGATAATCCAACAGAAGTCATCGGAAAAGGAATGGTTTTCACCAAAGGTAATACATAAAAATATTTATTTTAGTTACATATATACTACATTTCAAAACATACTGAAATTTGCCAATGTAGGACCTCAAAATCTGAATTAAAAATAAAACAATTTATCATAAGTTACTTTTAAGCTTTAGAAGTTCTTGATAAGATTTGTAGTTCGGGTTGTGGATGAGGCTGTAGACTTGCTCACCAAGCCGATGTGTTTGGTTGCAGATGTTTCATCGTCCTGCTAGGTAACATTGTCAGTGCGCCTCCGATGAAGCGTTGGTGTTCTGTTCCACTTGTTATTTATATGCCTCGGTTTGCTGGGGTGGTTAGCATCACTTGTGGTTCTGTTTTTTCAGTGGTTTGAGTATTGAGTCCAATTCAGTGTGTTTGTTGATGGAGTTCCGGTTGGAATGCCAGGCCTCCAAGAATTCCCTGACATGTCTCTGTTTGGTTTGTGCTATTGTGGATGTGTTCTTCCAGTCGAACCCATGTCCTTCTTTGTTCATGTGTGTTGAGACCAGTGAGAATTGGTCGTGTCTCTTGGTGGCTAGTTGGTGTTCATATCCTTATTGTCAGTTTTCTTCCTGTTTGGCCTATGTAATGTTTTTCACAGCCTTTGCATGGTATTTTGTATATTACGTTAGTTTTATTGGTTGTAGGTATGGGATCCTTTACGTTTGTCTGTAGCTGTCACAGGGTGTTTGTTGGTTTGTGGGCTACTCTGATACCTAGGGGTCTGAATAGTGTTGTGGTCATCTCTGATATGCCTCTGATGTACAGTAGGGTGACTAGTGTGTCTGGTCATGTTGTGTCTTCTTGTTGTGGTCTGTTGCGGAGGTAATGGCGGATTAACAGACCACAACAAGAAGACAAAACACACAACCACTGAAAACAGAACCGCAAGTGATGCCAACTACCCCAGCAAACCAAGGCATATAAATAACAAGAGGGACACAACACCAAAGCTTCACCTGAGGTGCACTGAGGATGTTACCTAGCAGGGTGACGAAATGTCTGCAATCAAACACGCTGGCTCGGTGAGCAAGTCTACAACCTTACTTTTAAGCTACCTGGAATTATTACAACAATTAATATTGTTTTAAAGCTACACACCTGACCCCATGTTACACTCTGTGTTTGGAAACCTTTACTGTCTTCAAAAGACTAATTTACTTTCTATTTTGTTACATTTGCTGTGATGGATTTCTTCCCATTGCTAATTCTCAGTATCAAGTAGAATTGATTGTATTTATTTAATTGTAAAGTGTTTCTTAATTCAGTCTGTAATATCAAAATTGCAACTCAGCTAAATATTTTGGTGCAAAACTAATATTGCATGTCTTCAAGGTTATTATGTATGCAAACCATGTAAATTTTCTCTCATGAAGTAAATAGTGATAATGTATGTTCAGAACTGACTGTAATATTGTTGTCATAGGGCAGATTCTAATGACTTCAATTTTTTAAGTAACTTTAGATGCAGCAAATATCTATATGTAAGGGAATGGAAATGAGATTAATTTTTTAAGGCTAGGCTAAAGGTTGACGTGTGAAAAATTGAGTTAGTTTGCAAAAAAGAAATTTGTTTCTTCGAGTAAAAATTGAGGTCAGGAGGCCACAGCTTGCCTTGCTCTTGGATGAGTGAAATGAATCAAACAATATGGCTACAGGAACGTGTGCAGTTGTATAATTTAATGATGAGGTTACATTCATTATCTTGAAGATGAATGTAATATGGCTGATTTTGCCTTTTATAATGACAATGATTTTTATATTACTTATGCACTGCCTTTAAGTGATTTCTGAACTGATAGCTGCGTTTTTTAAATAGGCCAAGAAAGAATAGTGTTGGCCTTATTGCTGCTTGTCGTTTTTTGATTTACATTACCACCATGTGTTTTTTGGTTATATTAAACAGCATGAAACTCATCTGCTAGGAGTATCTTTTAATTACTGTGTGCAAATTTCATCTGTAATTGAAACAAAAAGCTTTTCAGCCATCTTCCCAAACCATCTTGACAAGCTGAAACCTGAATGTTATTTTCTGGTGCTGCGATTAGATTGGGGCTGAAGTCTCCAGCTGGCAGGCCTGTCTATGACTGGAGGCGGCCTGTCCCCAGTGCTTGTCATTTCCTGACATGCCTGACAGGACAAGGAGAGCCGTCCCAGACAGATTCATTAGATGGCATTTTCCACAGCTGGGCTAAAATGAGGGCTGCACTTCATCACAGCAACGATGAACTAACTCTGTAAGGCCCTTGTTGGTTTTAACCAAAGCCATGTTGTTTTAACAATTTTTGTTTTGCAATATTTTAAAATCTTTTGACATGTTTTCCTTAAGTTTCCCTGAAGCTCACACCTCATGCATTATGCTGACATTGATTCTAAATCCAAGCTGCTGCTGTGGTTGAGACCATTGTGATGGGATATCGAGCATTTTATTCATTCATGAGATGGCGGAGCTTACCTTTCACCTTATTGTTGGCTGCCATTTCTTTAGTTCATGGTCTCTATGACAACTGTTTAAATTGGGATGAGTAACTGTCATCTGGAGTATTACTTAGAGAAAAGTGTTAGTGAGCATAAAGTCCCATAGATAGAGCATTTCAACATAATCCAATTTTAATTGAGCTCAAGAGACTTTGATGTGCTGCATAAGGTCAGGAAAGAGCTATTCCAGGGAGAAATTAAACCAGCCTAGCTAGGCTTCAGTACTACTGACTGTCACCATTTTAAATGAGCATTAGCATCAGCCTTAACCTTCCCCTGTGGAACATCTCACTTCACTTCCAACATTTCTCTGCCTTCTACCATATGCGAAGGTTGAGGGACTTTCATTTTTTTTAACACCTCCTTGATTAAGTTTGAAAAGCATGAAGCTGACCTGAGATGCACAGAAAGCTGTCAACTGGGCCCTTCTTTGTAAATCAGGGTGGGAAAATAGAGAATGGAAAAGGATTATTTTCACTTGTCAGTTAAAGCCCACTTTGGTTTTTTTTTCACTCAAAAGGCAGGCTTGTCTTTAACCTGTACCAATGTAACAATTAAGAGTTACATTAAAAGCAAAGGTAGTTTGTTTTATTTTTAAAATGGTATAACATTTAGAACAGAAAAGCAACACCAATCTGTGTTTAAATAGGAAAATGTGTCTTGATAATTCTAATGGACCTTCTGTGAAATGAAAAGGCTCCTTTCATCTCTTTCTATACATCAGCAAATCCTCTGTGGTATTCTTAATACAAATTTTCTTGAGAGCACAAAAGGAGTGAACATTCTACCGCATTCCCTTATTAACCCTTTGAGAATAGTGGTTTCATTTCTGAATCATTTCTCCAGACATCATCGTAAACAAAACATTCAACCAAGTATTCTGTATATTTATGTTCTGTTTCTCACTGTGATGTGTGAACATAGCAAAGCAGTTTTTTAAAATTTTTGAACAGAAAAATTTTATCTTAGAAATCTCATATTAAAAATCTTAGAAAAATAAAGCTTTGACAGTAAGGAAGTTTTGTAATTTGAAAATAAAGTAATTCACAGATGTCTGAGATTTATTCACAAATGGTGACTTAAGAGAGAATGTGTTTATAATAATGTTACGCTATGTATATATATTTAAGATGTGTTCCAAAACTAACAGAACAACTAAGTGCACATCCCTGTCGCTTAACATATACCAGCAATCACAAATATGTTGATTTGATTTCTTTAAAAAAAATCAAAATTCTTGTTGTACTTTCCAAGGTTTCTTTTAAACTAAAATATTTTCATAAATTCATTAAAGATAATGGGAAAGTCAAAGTGCCTAACTGAAGTTGTTGCAGATCTGATTTTTTTTTCTTACACAAATGTAAATTTAAACTAAGAAATATTTTAACATATGTTACAATCAATGTTTAGATGGTTAAAAGTATTGTTTTATTTTTATTAAATGAAATGAATATATTTTCAAATTTTAGGTTCTTGCTTACACTGAAGGTTTACATGGAAAATGGATGTTCAGCGAGATACGGGCAGTCTTTTCAAGACACTATCTCCTCCAGAGCACAGCTTTGGAAGTTTTCATGGCCAACAGAAGTATGTGCAATTACAAATTAGTTTTCTCTAGTAAAGTAATGTAAATGCAGTCCTGTATTGCTTGAAATAATTCTTTGTTGCAACTTGCCTTTATTGAATTATTATTTTTCTTATTTTTTTCTGCAGCTTCAGTTATGTTCAATTTTCCAGACCAAGCTACAGTGAAGAAAGTTGTATACAGTTTACCTCGTGTTGGAGTTGGCACTAGTTATGGATTACCACAGGCCAGGTATTCAATATGAATGTTTTTACGTGAAATTTCTCCTAATTGTTCATCTCAGATCCAGTATTCCTAAATTAATTTGTTTTATTCAGAAAGCCTACTGTAATGATATAGTACATACCAAATCACTTGCCTATTTTTTACCAAAAAACATTTGTAAAATATTGAATATATTGGACTAAGATAATTTATTGAAGTGACAAGAATCTGAATGGTCAGGTCCATTCTTATTGACAGAGCAGATGTGTTCCACTCTGCGTTTGGCCTTACCACCATAAAGGAGATCCCATTGTGATCAGTGAATGCAATAGACTAGGTTGAAAGAATTACAAGTAAATTGCTGCTTCATCTGGAAGGTGTGTTTGGAGCCTCAGACTGTGGGGAGGGAGGAGTTGATAGGGCAAGTGTTACACCTCTTGCAATCCGATGGGAAAGTGCCATGGTGGGGCTGAGGAAGTGCTCGGAGTGATGGAGGAGCAGGTCAGAGTGTAACAGAGAGAATAGCCCGTGTAGAATGCTGACAGTAGAGGGGAGGGAAAGATGTGTCTGGTGGTGGAATGGCAGAGGATGATCCTTGGGATATGGAAATTGGTGGGTTGGAAAGTGAGGACAAGGTTATTCTTGGAAGGACGGGAAGAGATGAGGACAGAAGTGTGAGAAATAGATTGGACGCAGCTGAGGGCCTGGTCAACCACAGTGTTTGGGGGTCGAAGGGAGTCCTCAGCTGAGGTAAAATGAGCATTGGTCAGAGGTATTGTGGAAAGTGGTATCATTCAACCAGATGCAACTGACATGGAGAAACTGGGAGGATGGAATAGAATGTATGAGGCAGGGTGTGAGGGCATGTTGTCAAAAATGGCAATGCAAAATTGCTTTCTTCTGATAGTATAAATGGTTCCATAAAGGATGATAATGTGGCTCACTGCACAATGTGGACCAGTATTTATGAGAGTCAGCCAAAGATGTCATCAATGGAACAGCCCAATTACAGCGGGGAAACTGCAATAATTTAATAATAAAATTGAAGATATATAGCCAGAATTTAAGCTTTTAAATTGTTCTTTTAGTAAGTAATGTTTTTCATTTCTTTTTAAATTGTTACTTTTGCTAAGTGTAAGCTGGAGCTGTAGGGGTACTTGATAAATATATATTTATTATTGCTGTGTAGCTTACAAAATCTTTAGCTAGAAGTAAAAGTGTAGGTAAGCATACCGATCAATGGTTTACCAGCAAGAATTAACATGTTAACCTTGTTGACCTTTGCCTATTCATCATCATTGTGGTATCACTCTGAATAATGAAAAAGTGCAATTGCAGATCACACCTTGGGAAAGTTTGATAAATGAGAACTGCTGCAGGTTGTTTAACAGTAGTGACTGTGCACTGTAGCGTACCGAGTGGCAACATGTTTACTTTGCATAATAAATTGTTCCATTTTTATGAATTGTATAAAGTAGTATTCTTAAACATGGAAAAGAAGAGCTAAGATAAACCAATCTGCATTCATTCTGATACTTATTATCCACGGTGATGTTTGACATATCATTTTTTCTGACTATCACCAACTAAGGATGATTAGGACTATCATACATAAGGCCTCGATATTGTATAATTTATCCAAATGACTTGGGTGAAGGAACTGAAGAGATGGTTGCTAAATTTGCAAATGACAAAGATTGGTAGGAAAGTAAGTTGTGAAGAGGACGTGACATTCCAAAGGATATGGATAGATGAAGTGAGTGGGAAAAGTTTGGTGAATGGAGTATGTTCTGGGAAAATGTGAAATTGTCCATTGGTGGGAAAAATAAACAAGATACCTATTGTTTAAGTGGTGAGAGATTTCAGATCTCTGAGATGTGGAAGGACCTGGGTATCCGAATGTGTGAATTATAAATGGTTAGTACGCAGGTTCAGCAGGCCATTAAGAAATCTAATATGATGTTTATTATTTATTGAGAGGAATTAAATGCAATGTAATGAGGTTTTGTTGCTTCAGTTATTCAGGGCATTGGCGAGACCACACCCGGAATGCTGTGTATTGTATTGTCTCCTTATCTGAAGAAGCATATTAACATGTTGAAAGCAGTTCGGAGAAGGTTTACAAGAATAATACCTAGAATGGACATGTTGTTTTGTGAGGAAAGGTTGGACAGGTTAGGTCTGTATTATCTAGAGTTTAGAAGAATAAGAATCAAGTTCTTTGATAACCATTTATGATCCAGAAGGATCTTGACATGGTTCATGTGAAAAGGATGATTTCTCTGGCAGGAGAATCAAGAACAAGGGGATGCTGATCAAAATAAGAAAACATATTTAAGACAGAGTTGAGGAGAATTTTTTTCTCGCAGATGATTATAAGACTTTGAAACTCACTTCCTCTGAATCCTTTTAAAACACATGTAGAAGAGCAAGAAGGTGAAAGGTTATCATGGGTAGGCAGGAATGTGAAGTAATCAGATCTGCCATGATCTTATTTATTGGCAGATCAGGCTCAAGCTGCTGAATGGCGTGCATCTGCTCCTAATTCATATGTTTGAATGGCAAAATAGGCATTCTGATCTTTCTTTTACTGTGCTTATCCTTCATATTCTTAATACTGTTACAACTCAATGGGACTTAAAATCAGATTTTCCCTTTACCAGCTGTCTGTTGGCAATTGCTTATTACTTTGCTAATTCATTATAAATCTCTAGCATGAAACAAATAAATTGCTGATGTAAATAAACCATGAAATAATGGTCTGCTGTGGTACAATGTCCTTAACACTGGTCCGTGAGGACTGGGTTCAAATCTCATCTGCACCAGGATGTGTAAATGATCTCTGATCAGTTATGCAGTTAGTGATATTCAATATGATAGTTGAGACAGTTGTTAGTTGTCATTCTTTTCAATGTCACCAGTTTTATTTTGAATTTGAAGTTCATGTAGAGGTTTCTAAGCTATGCTGAAATGGAATTCTTCAAGATATGTATTATTAACAGTATACTTCCATGCCAGTACATTTTTTTGATATTTTGTCAACAATAAACATCTTAGTAGCTGTGTCAGGTAAAATAAAATGCAGTATGAGATATTTTCTAATCACCTGCTCAGAGTTGTTATTACACACCTCCTGGATCAGAGATACGGACGGTCCCACTGCATCACAAGAGCCGTAAGAGATGCGGTATGAAGTTATATTTCCTTATCAGGATTACCTGAATGCATTCACAGGGCCATAAACCCAGAATGCTATTGTTATTGATAATTGTAGAAGCTTGCAATTTTTATTTCACCTTATCTAAGTTAATGATAATTCACCCATCTAAAAATTTACGATGAGCTTACACTGAACTTAAAGTAAACATTTCAATGGTTTCCTTGCAAAAATTGCATCAGAATTTTAAGATTAATATATATTTAATATATATTACTTTATGCAAAAACTAAATAACTGCAATCATTTTCCACAAATTTTCACCATTTCAGTACATCATGTCAGTTTTCACTTTGATCCAATTTCCATGAAATTCTATCAGGATGTACTGACTGTTGATGAACTTTCAATGAGTTCTTTTGTTTAGTCACTCATTCACTAGACTGTGCAATGCAACATCAGATGATTGTTTGCTGTTTGGTTAACAAGATCCAGGAATTTGATAAATTCTAAATTAATGTTTCTGGTTTGGTGTCAGAAGTGCCTGCAGATCTTTACATGCTGCTGGTAAAATATAGTGACGAAACTGACTAATGGATTTTGTTTATGGTAATCGTGAAATGGCAGGGGTCCTGGCACACTATGATAGTTGACAAAGCTGGTGTTTTTTTCAAAACTGGTTTCTAAAGTATCAACGCAGAGCAAACCGGTTAGAATTATCACATCTAATTTACTTTCTAGATTCAAAGCAATTACCCTGGAACCAAGTGTTAGCAACTTTATCTTTTGTAATGTTATTTCATTTTGCAAATTGAGTTATTTTACAGTTCTTGATAACTCTCCCAACAAATTGGTTTTCACTGTCATTTTCAAGAAATAATTCACAGTAATGTTCATGAGAATGGGTACCCCAAACAAGACATCAGCTTCAATATTGCAGAAAAATGTCTTACAAATGCATGATGTTGAAAATACTCCTTGAAAATTAATCGTACATTTTTAACACATTTTTCCATACAGAATTATTTTATGCTGATATAAAATATAACTATGGTATCTGGATGAGACCACCATTTGGGCAGACATATCTACACCAAATGGACTGCAGCAGTTCAAGAGGACAGCCCACCTCTGCTTTCTCTAGGGAAATTAGAGACGGGCAATAAATGCTGGTCAAGCCAGTGACACCCACAACTCATGAATGAACATTTAAAAAGATAGCATATATTTTCAATAGCCTATTTAATGTTAGTTTTCAAAACTAATAAGTTTATTCTTACTGAAAAATTCCCTGATTAGTTAGCAAAGATCCTCTTTTAGGCTTATAAATTAGTACAACAAATGGATTAACTAACTACCAAAGTGTTTCATAATTATTTTTCACCCAGTACAGCGACACCCTTTTATTATCTCATCTTCCATGACAAATTCAGATGTTTGACTATATTCAGTTTTTAAATTTTTCATTACAAGGGTTAGTTTTATAATGAAAGTTATATAACAAAGAGAACACAGATATTCTTGTTTTAAAGGAATGTGGAAGAGCACTCACATGCAAAAGTGTATGCCAAAGTATAAATTGATTGTTATTGTTCAATATTGCTCTCATTCTGTTATTGAAGACATTGGAAGTTCTACTGCTATGACAGGAGGACAAAAATAGGCAGCTTATTTAGTGGGTGGTGGAAGATAAGTGCTTTTCTGTTCAAATCATATGGTAGTTTCTGAAATGACCAAAAGAGGCAAATATTTTCTAATCTTGCTTACTCAAACTGTGCATGAAATCAAATGTGTTACAAATGATTAACAATTCTTCCTCTTATTTTTGGAATTAACAGGAGAATATCGCTGGCTAGTCCTCGTCAGCTTTTTAAATCCTCCAACATGACACAACGTTGGCAACGGCGGGAAATTTCAAACTTTGAATACTTGATGTTCCTTAATACTGTAGCAGGTACATTGATTTTATATCAAGGCGCGCTTGAAAGTTTGCATTTAGCCAGTGGTATCCAGCTGCAAGCAATGATGGAGACTGAAACTATCCTATTAAATTTTATCAGGAGACGCATAACCTGCCACTGTGACTGTAGATTCATTTATTGTTACTGGGGTTATTCTATGGTCTCACTCTGCCATTTCCTTTGTTGACAGCTTTGTCTGAAACTGAAGCTTTATTAGACTCTACAAACCATTTTCCAAGTGTGTCTGGAAATAATAACGAGAAAATGTAATTTTACTGCTTTGTCACTCAAGACAACAGCAACTAGACAGTAGAACAAGAATGGCACAGCATTCTGTTCAGTAAAACATCTTGAATTGTGGCAGATTAATAGAAAACTACATAAATATACATGAAAATAGGAGATTTTGCATTTGTATCAGAAGGTAAAACAAAGGGAGAGTACTTTACATGTTTCCATACAACAAATGCATTTTCCACTGTTTTATTTTCTGACGTGTGTGTGGTTGAAGTTTGCTCTGAGTAATTATGTATATATTTAGTTGCAGCATGTGTTGAGCTTATTACTGCCATCTAATTAGATGTAACTTGAACTGCTTACATGGAGAAAAATCATAAAAAAATTCTTTCCTAATGAACTGGAGATGACAAAATGTCTGTTACATGTTAGAAAGCAGACAAGCGAAGGAATAACAACCATAAACAGGCTATAGTCATGTACATTACAAAAATTAGTTTTCAGTAATTTCAAATTCTTTTTTTATTTAAGCCTTCTGATCAAGTGGTCTTGTGCTTTGTTTCAGAATTAAAGTGGAAGGAAAAAGTGTATATCAAAATCTGAGAAAATTAACAAGTTTAATTATAGGTATAGAAGTGATCAAGAACTTAATAATTTTACAAGGGAAGCCTTTCTGACAATTTGAAATTGTTTTTGGAGTTTGTTTATTCCCATGAAGTTTCTATGTCATTTTAGGAATGGTGAGAGAAAGCAGTTATTAAAACTCATTAAAATGACCTAAGTCAGTCCTTGAACAAGAAGAATCAGAATCATGAGATCAAAGACAACAATCTCTACTGCAATTTTTGTCATGCACATTATAAACACGTTAAAAAGTTCTAATAGTAATTTGAATATACTATATAAAGATATTTATGTCAGGGAAATTATTGTAAAAATTGCTGCAGCTTGGATTTCTTCCATTTTGATATTTGCCCATATGACATTTTCACTGCCCATAAAGTCACAACTGAGTTATGGATTTCAGATTTGAAACAAAATCCACCTGTGACTGAAGATACCTGGAAAAAAATTACAATTGAAACTTTGATTAAGCTTATAATTATGCAGAAAATTATTCTATGTCCCATATCCTATGCAGCATCAATAGATATCTTAAAGATGAAATAAATATTGTCCATTGCCATTAAGTTTACAAAAGCTGAGTAATGTGAGAAAGCTTTGTGCCATTGAGGGTTCCTGGTTTCTCATGTTTCAGCTGAGCACAGAAAAGTGCAGATTGTATGCCATTTATGCACAGAAGATGTTTAGCAGAACAAGCAGAGCTCCGTGTTTTATAGCTATTCTTCATTCAGAGGAATTTATAGCAGACTGTTTAAGGAAATGCTTTGACTAAGAGGAAAAGATGGCCAAGTTCAGGAAGTTGTAATTGAAATATGAACATTAGTAGCTGGTGCTTTCCCCCCCAATGTAGGCTAAGAGTTGATGAGTTCAAAAGATTGTAGTAATAGTATTGATCCCTGATATTTCCAGTGCTGTTTCTGCCTTGCTTAGAATTCACTGTTTCAGTGTCTTTGAAACATATTTTATACACCAGAAAATACTTGATATTGGTGATAGCACAATCGTATATTTAAAAGTTTTTTTAAAAAAGTCTTGAAATTTACAAATTAATTCTATTTGTAAGAAGTTACAAACAGTTTTTCACCATATTATCTCTTTTTCGCTAGGTCGCACTTACAATGATTTAAACCAGTACCCTGTGTTTCCTTGGGTTATTACAAACTATGAGTCTGAAGAGCTGGATCTGACCCTACCAGGCAACTTCAGGGACCTATCAAAGGTATCTTTCAAAAGTGCCTATTCCAAAATTAACTTGTTTTAGCACTAGAGATATTCCAAATTCCTGTTGCAGTTTACACAGACATAGGGATTTCATTAAGTCAATACAAAAGTCACAAAGCTTTTGTGCATGGTTTTCATGATTAGTTACAGCATACCTATAGCAATCATACCTGATATTGAATTCAAGCAGGAGAATAACCAATTCATTTTTAAGAGGATGAGTTAACTTTTTTTTCTAGGCATGTTAATCTTACTATTGCTATTATGTACGTGTACATATTTTACATTGTTGTTTGTGCAAGATCTGTGGTGGATATAATTTGCACCAATGCAACAGCCAAGTTAAGAAGAACATTTGCTGAGTAAAATGAAGATATAGTCTTGAAATTTCAAAGTAATAAATTGAATATTTGTGTGTAGAAATAATAATTGGGCAGAATTTTCCATTCTCTTAAAAAGTCAGAGAAGGTGACTTGAAGAGAAAATAGGTGGTCTGGTTGGCATTGGAGAGACATCCTTCATCCACCTCATTTGTTAAGATCTGATGGGAAGATCCATGGTCAATCTTGCTGGCCTACCACCAGTTAAGATCCTTAAGAGATCAGGAATACACCCCTTAAGGGCCTTAATTGATCAATCGTCCTGCTTGCCACCAATTAAGGTCCTTAAACGTTAATGAATAACATTTTAAAGATCTCACCCCACCACAGGTCCAATTATCTGCCTTCCCAGGAGGCAAGAGAAATTCCTGTATTGCTGAATGGAAAAAAAAAGGTGCTGGCAAGCCTGGGAGGTTGAGGGAGGGGTTACTATTTGTCAAAATCTAGGGGCTTTCTCTTCACAATCCCACCCTGTAATCTCCCCACGCATCTCTACTTTTTGTTGGTCCCAGCCTCCTGTTCAGCCAGCATGGATCTCATGCTGCTGCCAAACTCTGATTGGCTGGCAACTTCAGATGGGACAGGACATCTCAGCCATTGCATCTTATTAATAAGAAATGAATGATTTTATTGTCGCATGTATTTTACAGTGAGAAAAACAGTAAAATACAGTGAAAAGCTTTTTCATTATTGCCATGATCCATTTGAGATATAGCTTAAGGAGAGCCCCTCAGTCCTGAGCCAACTCATCATCAACGATGTCTTCACTGCCAGCCCTCCTCTACCACCTCACTGCCGTCTATACTGGATCCAACCTATGTTGAAGTTGCCACTCTTCAGGCACCATCTTTTGAGGCTGTACTGATTCTCCTCTGCCACCACTGCCAGTGCCGGACCCAACCAACAACAAAGTCGCCGATCCTCAGGAACCATCTTTCACCGCTGAGCCTGCCTCCTCTGATGTAGCAGCTTTCAATTCCAATGCCATTCCTGTGCTCGCTGTGAAAAAGTAAGTTGGGGCTCACTCAAGTGAGCCACCACAAGGTCCGCACTGGGCCCACTCGAGCCCATGCTGGGCATTCCTTGCCACCACTAATGCTGTCCGAGCTCGGGACAAGAGGTAAGTAAGAAGAAAGAAAAGGAAAGAAAGAAAAGAAAAGTGGTCAGAGCAGATGAGCTTCGGCTCAGGAGCCATAATCTGCCACCATCTTGATGAAGTATCAAGATCTTGAAACCATTTTGAAGCCCACAGATCAGCACTCGTGCCCGATAAGCACTTGCTGGTGGGGTGTTTGGGGAGGTGGTACACCTAACTTTAAACACAGCTGATCTCACACTTTGCCTACAAAATGCAGAATCCCAGTGATTGTGCTTTTGTGAAATATGCTTTCTGCCACTGATTTGGTAGCTGATTGATTTTCACACCAAGGAAAAATCATTTAAAATCATAGAGTCATACAGCATTGAAAAAGACCCTTTGGTCCCACTCATTCATGCTGACCAGACATCCAATCTGACCTAGTCCCATTTTCCAGCATTTGGCCCATATCCTTCTAAACCCTTCCTATTCATATACCCATGTCTTTTAAATGTTGCAATTGTGCCCACTTCCTCTGGCAGCTTGTTCCACACACCATCCTCTGCGTGAAAAAAGTTACCTCTCAAGTCCTTTTTAAACATTTTCCCTCTCACCTTAAACCTATGTCCTCTAATTTTGGACTCCTTCCAGCCTAGAAAAAGATTTTAGCTATGCACACTATCCATGTCCCTCATGATTTGTAAGGTCAGCCCTCAACCTCCAACGATGTAGGGAAAAAAGTCCCAGCCTATCCGACTTTTCTCAAACCTTCCATACCAGGCAACATCCTAGCAAAGCTCCTGTGAACCCTCTCTAGCTTATTCTCATGATCAAGATTTCTGCATGTAGTCAGCACTTTTCATTGGCTGCAGGAATCAGCAGGAAGCTTCATATTATGAGATGGTCCAATGCTTAATCTAACCTGCACCTCATGAAGGGAAGGTAAGCTATTGCTGTGGAAGTAATAAGGTGATTCAGAATGGTGCTGTGCAACACAGATGAACAGGAGAGCCTGTAAGGGATGAGAGTGTGAACTAAGGTTTAAAATAACACAGTCAAGTTCTTGGCAGAGGGGTTGAGAATAAGACATATTCTATGTTCATGTGAGTGTAGCAGGAAATCTAGACTCAAGGGAGAGAAGGATGTTGGAGCAGAAAGCCAAAGAGATGGATTGCAGGGATCAGTGCAAGGAGTTGAACCACAAGGACCAGGCTGCAGCTTTGCAAGAAATTTAGTTTAAGAACCTGACATGAATGATAACGATCTTTGAATGCATTCTCAAGTTCCATATCCCACCAACTGCACCACTGATCTCAACCCCTGTTCAATTCACAACTTCCTCATCATTAACCTACCAACAATGTCGGTCAATTAAATCTTATACCTAACATTCATGTGCTTCACCTCTTCATTCACTTCTCACATCTATCAGACAATGTAAGCTGTTCAAGCACGATAGTGAAATAACCAAACTATTTGCACAAAACTCACTCGTGCATCCCTATTTCTTACAGAAAGAGGTTCCTTCAACTGCACCTTCTAAACTCATTGCCTCTCCCGCCTAGAAAGGCAAGGGCAGTAAGTGCGTGGGAACATCTCCACCTCCAAGTTTCCCTCCAAGCCCAACGCCATCTTGACTTGAAATATATTGCCAGTATTCATGGTCACTGAGATAAAATCCTCAAATCCCTTCTTAACCAAACTGTAGGGTACCTGAAACACCATGGTTTGCAGCCAATCAAGAAGATGGCTCACCATCACCTTTTCAAAAAAAACAGAAAATGAATGTGATATACTGAAATGATGAAACTCTGTGGAAAATGATTGCAGCTATTTAGTCTGCTGCAATAAAGGCCATTGAATCCCATCCAGTCTGCCGCTTCTGTTCCACCCTGTGAATGTGGATGAAGTCCACGATTGCCAACTCCCCAGGTTCCTCTCCTGTCTGGGGTTGAGCAGACTGCTTATCTCCGACGTCTTCCAAGTGCCAGCAACCTTGGACTTTACTTCCTTGGCCAGCTGCAGAGCTATCGCAGTGAAGTGCTGACCAGACTGGGAACCCACACTGTCTAAACCTAACATTCTCACTGAGGTGTCAGTATTTGAGTTGGTGGGCAGTGCAGGAGGCAGCCTTCCTGATTCGTCCCCTGAGGCCTCAGTACTCTAGTTCTCGGAGGTCACTGAGGTGGCTTTTGGGGAAGTAAGGCACAAGGGAGAGAAGGTGTTACACCCAGTGGTTAAAAGTGATGTACAATGAATGACACTGATAGGTGAATGTGAGATTTGGAGTGGAATGAAGAGTCGTAATTACTTAATTTGTGGGACCTGGATGTCTTGACATTCCCGCATGAGTAATTACAGTCCTGTGAGGATCAGGATTTTCTTCTCTTAGGGTGAGGAGCCTAATTTCCAGCACCCCTCCACCTATATGACTGTCTCTGGCTTATAAGTCTCAGCATGGCTGTAATTCCTGGTCTAGGAGGTTGGAGGGGGTGAGCAAGTGAGGGAAGATATCACAGATAACAGCGAGAGTAGCAGAGCACGAGAAGCTGGTGGGAGGTGAGTGTTATAGCAGACACAGTGGATGTGAGGTCACAGAGAGAGGAGTATGGCACTTACTAAGATACAGTGGAGTAGGCCATTGTGACCTCATGAACTGCTAGCCCTTCCTCTTAATCATGGAGCTGCACTCATTCTGGAAAGCCGAGAGTATTCCATCATACTCCTGAGTTGTGCCTGGTAAATGGTTTGGATGATTGGTCGTTACAGAATTCCCAGCCTCTGACCTGCTCTTATGGCCATAGTATTTTTGTGGTTAATGTAGTTCATTTTCTGGTCAATGGTAACCTCTAGGATGTTGTTAGACATCATTCAGGCCATACTGATGATGCGTGACACTGGGATGGAGGTGGCATCCTGAAAGCAGCATAAATGGCTTCCTGAAAGCAGCATAAATGGCTTCCACTTCTGACCGTAGTACTGAGTATCTCTCAGAAACGGATAAACTCCCATTGACTATCAACCCCCAGGAGCATATCAATCATCCCCAATTGGATGGTGGTTAAACTCCCTAGCTACTAATTAGACAGATTATCAAAATTTACTTGGGTGTCATTAGTCAATTTGAAGCAGGATTTAGATTTGGAAATGCCTCCAGCATCAGGGTCCTGAATCCAAAACTAAAATTCAGCCTACGATTGCAAGGTGACCAAGGATGGGAAATAAATATTGCAGGGCACATAATATTTCAAAAAGGACAAGCAAAGTAGTAAAGAAGAGCAATAATCCTGTTAATATGGGATGGCATAATGGCAGTAGTCACCCTAAGACCTCAACACAGGCATCAGGTCTTGATAGTTGCCCAGCCAATCCACCTTTCTAGTTAGATTTCGCAAATCCTCCATTTCACTTTTGAACTACATTATATCTTTTTCTGAGGCTCAAGTTTGACTTCACAACGAGACTAATGTTTTCTAACTAAATTGCAGATGCAAAGCAACACCTGATCCGTACTGCTTGATTTCCAATCCAATGTACTTC